CCCGTAAGAGATTACTTCAACAACACGGTAAAGGATTGTGGAAACCTGTCTTTCATCCTTTGCTCAACAAATTAAAACAGCGATGAAGTTTACACGAAAAATGAGATTGGTCCCAGCAGATGAACCAGAGAAGATTGTGACGGTTAAACCTTACGGAGCTGTGTACGATCAAAATCCAGTTAAAGAAGCTTTAGAAGAATTAAGTCAAGAAATGCAACGTTTACTCAAGTCCAATATTTCAGACGATATTAAAATGGATCAATATGGTCAAATGTTGCATCGATATCGAATACTACAAAATAAAAGACATGCACGAACCATACCCGAGACAACAAACAACAAACATGACGACATCGCTTCCGTGGAAAAACCTGATATTTTATCTTCGGTACCTAAAACATACCAAGGCCGAGCTCGTATGTTATTAGAGCATTTGGAAAAGAAAACACCCTACTCTTGGAATGACAAGTACGAATTGACCCATGGCGGTGAGGTAATGAAAGGCACGAACGTAGTGGATATCGTCAATGATTTCATTCGTAACCGCAAGACAAATATTACCCCTTTTGGTTGGGAAGCCGTCATGAGAAGTTTGAGAGAATCAAATATACCTCGAGAAGCCATTGGAAACGATCGTCGATGGGAATTGTTTTCGACACCTCAAACACAATCATCTCCGTCCACTTTTGAAACGCCCAAGAAACGCACAAGTAAAAAGCAACAGAGAAAATGGCTATCTTTTGACAGCCTATAAAAGAAGCTCACAAACATTAACGGGTCAAAGATGAAGAAGCTAGCACAAGTCTATTATGATCCGGCGCATCCCGCAGGATTTAGTGGCGTCTCAGAAACTGGCCAAGGCTACTGGAGTGTCATTAGAGAAAGTCAAAACCTGGTTAGCGGGTCAACGGACTTATACTTTACACAAACCTCTCAAGAAAAAATTCAAACGCACACCTACGTTAGTAGCAGGTATCGATCACCAGTGGCAAGCCGATTTGAGTGATTTGAGTATCCTCGCCAAGTTGTGTGTGATTGATGTGTTTTCCAAATATGCTTGGGTCATACCCATCAAAGACAAGAAAGGTGAAACGTTGGTTCGGGCTTTCCAAAAAATTAAGGACAAAACACCTTTAAGATTGCAAACAGATAAAGGTACAGAATTTTTAAACAGAAAATTTCAAACTTATCTCAAGAAGAAAAAAATTCACTTTTTCGTGACACACAATGCCGAAACCAAAGCCAGTGTGGTGGAGAGATTTCAACGTACCTTAAAGCAACGAATGTGGCGATATTTCACGTACAAGAAAACGGAACGTTACATTGATGTTTTGGACAAGTTCGTAGAAGGTTACAATGCAGCCGTGCATCGCACTATTGGAATGGCACCTAAAGATGTCACTGTTCAAAACGAATGGTTGGTTAGTCAACGATTGCCTCGGGAAACATCCAAGAAAAAACGCGACATTACATCAACGGCACGGTTAGCCCTCGACAAACAGAAAGCTTTTGATAAGGGATACTGGCCAAATTGGACTTTGGAAACTTTTCAAGTCAAACCCAGTGTAGGATCCCGTTATAGATTAATTGATGGAAACGGTGAAATGTTGGAAGGATCGTTTTATCCCGAAGAATTGCAAGAAGTGAAAGAAGACAAAGACGAGGCTTACGTGATTGAAAAAATCATAGAACGACGAGGTAAAAGCGTACTCGTCAAATGGAAAGATTACCCTGCTAGTTTCAATTCCTGGATTCCTGAATCGACCGTGGAGTATAAATAGAAGTAACCAACTACAGGCGAGATACATCATGCAAGACGAATCCACATCGACAACATCGATTCGATCCAAATCCTGGGCGTGTTTAGGAAGTCGTGTGCCTCAGGCTGAAATTGTATTTTTCTGTCAAGTGATATTGGTCTACATTGTCGCGGGTATTGCGTTGTCGCAACTCGCTCTGAAACCCGAAGGACCTCAAACCACGTTGTGGACGGCTTTGTTATCCAGTAGTTTGGGTTATTTACTGCCATCACCCCAACTGAAGAAAAATGAACGATTTTTATCTCACCCTGCCTAGTGACAGTTCCATTGGAATGTTTCCGGACAACAGCCTTTCGACGTATCGCACTCATTTAACTCCCCCCATTCATTTTAATCACCAAGAATGGGAAGTAGGTCTGGCAGCCTTGACCTTCCCAACAACTACGGAGGATGACAACAAACTCAGACTGAAAGTTTTTCCATGGAAAATTGTTCCAGGAATGGAAACCATCAAGTATGTGAGTGACAAATGGTTGGAACCTCGTTCTTAACAATGATGAAGGTTCGACTGAAGTGGAAACGCATATGGAAACCAACACTTACAGAAATGTGGAACAGTTGCTAAATGTATTGAACGTGACCATGCATGGATTATGGAAATGCAATGAAATACAAGAAATCATTCATCGAAAACCATTTCGATTGGATCCCAACATCAAAGAATTGACACCCCTGGAAAAAAGCGAACAAGAAGAGTACGAAAATCGTATGAAATTATCCAATCAAGCCGAAAAACAACCCTATGCAACCTTTAAATTGGATTCATTAAACCAAAGAATATATTTATCTTTCGACTCTTCAGATGCCATCAACTTTCTACGTATGTTACCCGCAATCAGT